GAGAGTTTCAGTGGATATAGAATACCTGGCTGATAGTCTTTCTTTCAGTATGTTTAGTATGTCTTCCCTGCTTGTTGAGCTCCATGGTATGGTGGTATATGCCTGTAATCCTAGCACTTGGGAGGCTGAGGCAGGCAGGAGGATTGCTGTGAGTTAGAGACCAGCCTGGGCTGCAGGGTGAGTTTAGGGCCAGCCTGAACTACAAAGGGAGACTCTGCCTCAAAAAAGCATAAAATAAACATGGCAGAGCTGGGGTGCTGGGACACTTAAAGCATGGTGGTGTTTTTTGACCCTGCCATGCCAATTCTGTCCCTGAACCTGCAGGAAGATGCTGAGTTTCAGAAGGGGTGGTTCAGGTTTGGCATCATATGACCCAGCAAAAAAAGCAAGAACTTATGCCTGGAGTAATCTTTGAGGGTCACCTACCTCCAGTACGTTTTGAATCCCAGATCAAAGCATATTTTTCCCAATTTGGCAATAGTACAAGATTCAGACTGTTCAGAAGTAAAAGGACTGGAAATAGTGGAGGCTATGCCTTTGTGGAGTTTGCCTCTGAGGATGTTGCCAAGATAGTGGCTGAGACCTTGCCACAGCTACCTCTTTGGTGAAAGATTCCTGGTTTGTCATTTTATGTCACCAGAAAAGGTTCATAAAGATCTTTTTAAAGGCTGGCAAGTTCCATTTCATCATCCAGTATAAGTATACCTGGCAGTGAGATGGTATAATCATAAGTCATAAGCGGACACTTTTACAAAAGTTGTGGATATAAGATCAATTTAAAAAGAAAGAAAAATTACCTTTGAAGAAATTAATTGCAAAAGGAATTGACTATAATTTTCCTTCATTGGTTTTATTTACTACGAAAAGAGGTTTCAGACAAAAAAGAATTTCCACAAAAAAGGAAAAGGTTTCAGGCATACTGAAGAAGAAGAGGAAAGGGGAGGGGGAGGGAAAGGGGGAGGAAGAGGAAGAAAAAGAAAGAAGAAGGAGAGGAGGGGCATGAAGAGGAGGAGGAAGATTTCAAAAAACTCTCCTCTTACTCCCAGTAAGACTGTGGATAGGCAGAGCACCACACCAGTTTGTACACCATTTTTTGAGAAACAAAAATCTGAAGTGGCTGAAATGAATGATGATAAAAATGATGAAATTGTTTTCAAACAGCCTGTATCCAGTGTAAAGGAAATGCCAGAGACTCCAGCACCTACTTGTTCAGGGAAAAAAAAAACAAAGGCAAAGAAAAAGTGAACAGTGATTCTCAGTGTATTGTATAAAGCATATCTTAACAAGAAAATGTGACTTGTTATAAGGACTGACTCCTGTATTACACAAGGTACAGCCAAATCAGCCATTAACAAGACTTCCAGAAGAAAAACACACTAGTTGTTCAAGGTCAGTGAAGAAAGCAGGCAGTAATTTTGGCTCATCTGCCCGTGCTGAGATTTGGGTTACACTGCAGCCTGCAATAGTTGGGCTCACAATGCCTTTGTCCTGGTCTCCTACTTTTCTGTTCAGATTCTTTTTTAGCTCCCCTTAGTTTACCATGTGTAAATGTCATTATTAACTGTAGATTTAAGTACTGAAGTGTTGTGGCCTTTTGCCACCAGCAAATAAAATTCACCGGTCTTGTTTGACCAAAAATTAGTAAATAAATACAATAATCAAGTTGAAGTTTCATTTGACCATGCTTTGTCCTGAGTATACAGTTGCTCCTTTAGTTCCCCAACTCATTTAATGACCCAGTGGTAGGATGTTAACATGATCATTAAGTGAGGAATATCTGCCAAAGCAAGCTGGCTGTGTTTTTTTTGTTTTTTTAATAATTTCTGTCTCTTTTCTTTTTGTTTCTTGCAGTTCTGGGGATAGAACTTCAGGCCTCATGCATACTAGGCAGGCCTTCTACCACTGAGCTATACCCCAGTCCTTGTGTCTTTATTGATGGACTGGATATGGACTTTATTCCCGTAGTTTTGATTTCCTTTGGTTCTTTGTGCATATTTAATGCAGCTAATTCAGTGCCCGTGTCTGCTTTGTTCAGTACCTGGGTTTCCCCATGGACAATTTCTTTTGCCTGCTTTTTTTTCCCTCCTAAGTAAGAATCATAGTTTTTTCGTTATTTTTCATAATTTTTTGTTGAAACTTACACATTTTAAATAAGAAAATGTGGTAACTCTATGATCAGTTTCTCCCTTTCCTCACTGTGTTGCTGCTGTTTATCTTGGTGTTGTTTGGTGACTTTCTGAATTCATTATGTGAAGTCCACATTCTTCTTCATATGTGGTCACTGAAGTTTCTGTCATTCAGTTGGCTCAGTGATTAGCCGATAACCAGACAGAATGTCGCGTGTCTTAACATGGCACAATGTTACCAGTTCTTTTGCATAAGCACTTCTATGTTGAAATGTCACCACACACCCATGTCATAAGACACTTGTGCTGCTGCTGAATGACTGGGAATGCCAAGAAGCTGCTAATTCTAGATGTTCTGAAACTGAGCCACTCAAAGTATAGCACCACTGCTTACAGTCTGCTTTGGCAGACACACCCAAGAAAGAGTGTAAAACCCAAGCATTTGCAATCCCACTATCCCTCTGGGGACTGCCGCAGTGGCATGGGCTCTGTCTGTCTGGTAATAGCACTGGACATTCATGTGATCAGCTCGTATGGCTGTGCTGGACTAATAAGACACAGAAAAACGCATGGACTCTGAATGGAAAGGAGGAATGCATGCTCAGTAGCAGCTCCGCCTGTGTAGATGAGGGCCATCTCAAACACTAAGTGCGGGCTCCGTTGTCTCAGGAGTGTTACTGGTAGCTGGTGATAGTAAGAAGCTCAGAAATGGACTCTAGATGTATGTTACTTGTGGAATCAGCTTGCATAGCAGCAACACAGCGAAAGTAGACAATGACACTTGGCCACTTATTCCTGGCACCTGTGCTTTTCCTGGGTCATTGATGTGTTCTGCTCACCAAGCCACCCTCAGTCATCAGCAGTGCTATTCTGGCTCGCCCTGGGCCTTCATCTGGGCCAAGCCCAAACAAGGTGATGGACTTGCTACACCGAGGCACTGGTCTTTGTATGAACCATTTAAATGTTGAGATCTTAAAAGGTATAAAATAAACCATGTGATTTGTAAGCTGATCCAAGTGTACACGTTTCTGCTCCAGCAGCTCTTTCATCCCTTCCAGGCTGCTCATAACACAGAGCTTTCTTTAAATGTCCAGAAGTAGAGTTCTCAGTCCTACGTGTGGGGGCACTCACCCAGCACTTGTCCCTGCAGCTCACAGCTCTTCCTTAGTCCTCACTTCCTGCTTCCTGCTCTGTAGAGCTGGAGCTCAGCATCCTGATTTCAGGGTACAGGTGCCTGCTACATTCCCAGGAATGTGTTGAAGCTTTTAGACACCCCCCTCGGCTTTCCCTTTAAATCTTTAGTTATTTCTTGTTTGTCCCAAGTTATCTACGGCCTTTAAGCAGCCTCCCTATTAAACAGTTACTTTTTATTATTTTCAGCAAACTTCCCCAGGGAAAATAGCTGTTTGTTCTGGGTAAGCTCAGAGCCAGGTCAAATAAACAGTCATTGTGCAAGGTCTTCCAGAGGATTGTCAGGTCACAGGAAGATAGATCTATGGGAATGGGGCTTCTGTGGGATTCTGTTTTCCGGCTCCTGTGGCTTTTGGGCTGCTGGTTTTCACTGTGAGCACAGGTCTTCAGGGCTCTGCTGACCTGGGGAGGGTGTTGGGAAGAATGTGGGTTCCTATACCATAAAGCCCTTTGGTCTGATCCAGAGTCAGCTGGTTTTCCTGAATAAATTGTCCTCAGGTTGCCACAAGCCTGATTAATTTCCAGAATTTTGAGAAATCATTCTGAACATTTTCCCAGTGTTGTCTGTTTAGAAGCAGAGAATTTTTAGAGGTTTTATTCCACCACTCTCTCTGACATTCCTGATCATTTGTTGACTTCAAAGTTGTTTCTTTTATTTTGAAAACAGAAGAGATGCTGTATAGGAGGGAAGCAAGACCTTGATTCTGTTCTTATGGTATATATGACATTTTCTCACTTACCATGTGGGCCTCACTTTTTCCATCTGCAGAGCAGGAGTGCAAATACATCTCCCATCTACCACATATGTATCTATGAAATAAATGCTTATATGTGTGGAAGTGCTTTTGTCCCTTTGGAAGAAAAACACTTAAACTTTCTGGAGGCTTCAGCCTTGTTATACTTTCTACTATGTGTCCTTGATTGAGCCACTGAACCAGTCCCTCTGCTTCTGTCTCAGTCTCTGTGTCTTTCTCAGTAGGACACCATTTCACTCTTGCTAATAAATTTAAATTGAGGTGGTGCACACCTGTAATCCTAGAACTTGGGTGGCTGAGGCACAAATTTGAGGCCACCCTGGGCTACATAGTGGGTTCAAGACTGGCCTGGACTATATAGTGAGACTGTTTAAAAAAAAACAAACAAACAATAAAACAAAATTTCTTGAAGGTGTTTGGAAAAAAAACCTGATGTCATTTTGTTATTTATAGTTTAACTGTATGTTATGAGTATTTTGTGGAGGTTGCAGTATATTTTAATGCCATCCCAAAGGTGGTTAATGAAAATATTTATAGTATACGTAATGCTAAAAATAATTTTGAAACCTCCAATAGTCCTTTGTATGCCCCGCCTCACCTCTCCTCTCCTCTCCTTTCCTCTCCCTCTCCCTCTCTTTTTCTCTTTCTCTCTCCTTTGGTCAAGTTCTTCAATGAATCTTGAGCTCTGTGGAGGACTCTTAGAACTCATAGCTGTTTTTTTTTCTTTTTTTTATTTTTATCATGGTAAACTATACATAGCAAAAAATTTACCATGATATTTTGCTCATTTGCTATGTGGAAAGTCATGCATTTCATGAAACATGGTAGGTGCTGACATGCGTGGCCATACTTTCTTTACCTCTCTCCTTTTCCGAAAACAAGCTGATTGTTTCTATGCATTGTGTTTAACTCATATTTCTCTTTGCAGGTTGCAGTGCCAGCTGGAATTAACTCTGGGATGTCCATGTCAAGAGGGTTATATCAACCAGCAACAATCTTTATGGGTTGCCAAATGTCAGCCCTCTCAAGCACTGGAGATTCTAGTACAGAGCAGGAATCTTCCCAGCCCACAAAGAACTTCACAATTCCTGACCCACATTCACACCGACAGACAGCCCCAAGCAGCACAGTGACAGACAGCTGTGTAGTACAAACTCCTAGTGACATGCAGTTCTTAAATAAGTCTGACAAAGTAGATGGCAAGACATCTCTTCAGATTGGCAAGGAAATGCCAGTCACAGCCCAGGCACTGTCTGAAGAGGAGCAAATTCTTGGCTTGGAGACGGGAAGCAGCCCTCAGAACAGTGAGAGTAATTTATCTGACGTCAGAAAGCCTGCGGAACTCCATTCCTTGCCACAGCAAAGATTAAGTCCCAAGAACAGAACCACTGATTTAAAGTGTGACAGTTGCAGCAGATCAGAGGGATCAGAGGGAGAAATACTGACACAAGAACATATTGAAGTTGAGAAAGAAAGTGCCAGCCTGCCTGTCTCTGCCATATCAGTTTCTGAACACTATACATCTGAAAATAAGTGGTCTCCAGAGAAGCAATCTGCCAGGGCCACTTTCCCAGGTGGGATAAGAAGCTGCATTCACTTGCTGGTTTTTGTTGATGTTTAGTTTTTCCTAAGGGTGATGATTTTATATAAGAACAAAATATATCATCATTTTATCTCTTTGTCAGAAACCAAAATGGTGACATTGTCAACAGATTAAGTTGTAATCAGTTCTTCGTTGTGAACCTGGAAATAGTTTTGAAAGCGAATTTACTGATTTTTTAACTCAGTGATTTTATTATTTTTTTTAATTTTTTTTTTTTTGTACCAGGGATTGAACTCGGGTCCTTGTGCTTGCGAGGCAGGTGGCAGAACCACTGAGCTAAATCCCTGGCAAAACTCAATGATTTTAAAAAAAGATTTATAAATATTTTTGAAGGCTGCAGGTGTCGCTTCGTGGTAAAGCATATGCTGAACATGCACATGGCCCATTACTTGATCTCCCACACCACAAAAAAAATTTAAGTTTTTTATTAAAAATAAAACATTTTGGAATTTTAAAATCCCATAACTAATTGTGGATTGTTTCTGTGTGATTTAACTGAGGGGTCATTCTGCTCTATGTTACCTTGATTATCCCTGATGTTAGTGGCCAGTGATCTGTGTGATGTCCCCCATACAGGTCACCTAGCCCCTGAGGTCCCAGAGTCACACAGGCCCTTGGAGCGTATGCAGGAAGAGCAGGATGAGGGAAGTGTGTGCAGCAGCAGTGACCTCACGGTCTCTGTCAGCGAAGATGACCTGATTTTATACAGCCCAGAACCACAGCCAAATCCAGGCGCCCAGACAGAGGAAGAAGGTGGGATACAAGCCTTAACACTAATCCACGGTGAACGGGAAAGAGATGTCCTCGCTACTGGAGAGAATGATTGTGCTTTGCAAACCCTGAGCTCTCCTGATTCAAAAAAGACATCCTCCACTAACTCCCCGAAACAGTAAGCCGTTCTTTCTTCTTTCTTACTGTTCTTAATTGTAGACAGTTTTAGAGACTGTTTCACTGAGAATGTATTGTTGAATACTCAGCCACAAACATATGTTTCTTAAGTCTCATAAGTAGTCTTTTAAGATAAGATCTAATTTTTTTCTTTCTTTTCTTTTTAAACTAGTTTTTAAAAATAATAATCATTGAATCATGTGATTGACATCTTATATTTATGCAGATAGTTCCCATTTAATTTATAAATCACCCTACCTCCTATTCTCAAGCCTTTTAAAATATAAATCCATTTTATTTTTATGGAATTTTGTTACCATAGAAGGTGACAGGTAAATTGACTAGCAGTTCAGCTTTAGAAACTAAGTACTTTGTAGCTACTTAATCTTTATTTAACTTGCTATAGTTTCATTTTATCATACAATTACATGAGCTAGTAAGTTCTCATTATATATATTTAAGCAAGATTTCCTTTTTTGAGTGTAAATGTGAGGACATTGGAATTTCTAATATTAGGAATATCAGTGTTATACATTTTCAGCACTTATAATATCCAAGTCACGTTTTTTTGTACCTAGTATCTCCAATCAATAGTAGTTTTTTTGTTTTTGTTTTTGTTTGTTTGTGTTTTGGTACCAGGGATCGAACTCAGGAACTTGTGCTTGCAAGGCAGGCACCAGAACCACTGAGATAAATCCCCAGCTCAATAGTAGCTTTTTTTACTATTGATTGGAGATACTAGGTACAAAAAAAATTATTGAAAGTTTTTGTGTATCTTCTGTATAGAAAACTTGTTAGCTGTTTAAAACTGATTCTGTGATATTTTAAAAATAGCACCAATGGGCTGGGGATTTAGCTCAGTGGTTTCACTGCCTGCCTTGAAAGCGCAAGGTCCCGAGTTTGCAAGGTCCAGAGTTTGATCCCTGGTACAAAAAAAAAAAAAAAAAGCACTAATAGAATCAAATCTTTAATGTGGTGAGAATGAAGCTAAGTAAGCAGCATTTTACAAATTACAAGTAAACATGTTTTACAAATGAAGAAAGTAAGGGCAGGGCACAGAAGTGTCACAGTGACCATTGGGCCGGAGCCCTCCTTATAGTTCACACTTCAGCCCCACACCCCCAGAACCTGCAGTTAATCTGTGGCTGGTCAGCTTCCTCCCAGCAGCCTTGGTGGCAGTGAATGTGCTCTACCTTGTATATGTTCTGTGTGAGGTTGAGCTGAGGAGAATGGGAATTTGTGTTGTTGGATGAAATGTTCTGTAAGTATCACTTGGATCTAATTGATTGATGGACCTGTTTCATCACTACTTGCCTCTTGGATCTCTTAGTACTGATAGAGATGTGTTCAAGTCTGCATTCATATGGTAGATTTATCTACTTCTCTCTACAGTCCCACCTGTGTTTGCCTATGTATTTTGATGCCCTTATATTGGGTATGTACACATGAAGGATTTTTATGATATTCCTAGGTATAGAGTTTTTGTTATTTATCCCTGGCATGCTCTTAGCTTTCCCAGTTATGATTTTGGATCTGTCATTAATTTTGGAAACTTCCCAGCCATTATTACTTCAAATGATTTTTATGTTCCTTTCTCTTTTTGTTCTCTTTCTGGTATTCTCATTATGAATATGTTATATCCTTTGTAGTTGTTCCATAGTTCCTGGGTATTCTGTTCCATTTTTTTTCTTTCTTCTTTCTCTTTATACTTCAGTTTGGGAAGTTTATATTAACAGCATCTTGAAGTTGATGATTCTCTTCTTTTCCTCCTCTCACTCTTCCTCCTCTTCTTCCTCTTCCTGCTGCTGCTCCTTCTCCTCCTTCTTCCTCTTTTCTGTCTCCCTCTGTCTCTGTCTGTCTCCCTCCCCCCTCTATCCTTCCTTGACCCACCTCCAGCCCCCCATAGGCTCTTGCTACATTGTACCAGCTATCTCCTGAACAGTTGGGCTGAAAGAGGGTCAAGGGACCTCAGCTTCCTAAGTAGCTAGGACTGTAGGCACCACAGCTCTATGCCTGGCTAATGATTCTTTTCTTCACTATGTCCAGTCTTCTAGACATGCTCTGTTGAGTTTGAGGTTTTCCTTTTTTGAGTTATGTAGATAATTTAAAATTAATTGTTCTTGGTGAGGCATGGTAGTGCACACCTGTAATCCCAGCACTAGGGAGACTAAGGCAGGAGAATTGCTGAGAGTTCGAGGCCAGCCTGGGCTACAAAGTGAGTTCAAGGCCAGCCTGAACTGCATAGTGAAACCTTGTCTCATAAAAACAAAAACAAAACAAAACAAAATTAATTATTCTTCTTCCTAAGCCCACATATTAAAGAATTAAGCTATTTTCCCTTCCAATTATAATACCATAATTAAAAATTCTGTGATTTATTTCCATTTGGATTCCACCATAGTTTTCTAAACACCTGGTAATCCCAAAGCTCTGTTCCTTGAACTGTGAGATTATGGCAATTTAAAATGTGGCTGGAAATTCTTCAGCATTCCTTTTGTCTTTCCCTTGAATCTTGGTGGGCTTATGACTGCTTCCAACAGATTGATGCTGCATGACTTCTGATTTATGAAAGGCCATGCTGTTTCTACTCTGTTTTCTGGAACACTTGCTAAACTATGAGGGCCTGTATAACAGTCTGCCTCTTCTGAGGCTGCTAAAGAAAATATGTGTATGTGCCTGACATGTAGTCCCTGCCAAGCCTTCTCCTTCTAACCATCCCTACCAAGGAGCCCGACGAGTAAGTGAAGCCTTTGTGAGCTCTCAGAAGAGTCTGTCATCAGCTGTCACCAAATTACTTCTCCTGACATCCTGTGAAACACAGGCACCACCAACCAAGCCCTGCCTGGTTTCCTGATCCACAACATCATGAAGTATAGTGCATTGGCTGTTGCTTGAAGATACTGGGTTTTGGAGGGTAATTCGTTTGGAGTCTATAGATAAGAAGGAAAGGAGAACATTTACCTAATAGTAAGTGTTGAGTACCTACTCTGTGCCCAGCTCCAGTCCTGCTCTGACGGTGCTCATGATTGTATTTATTTCAAGGAAATATAAACCAGTAAGCAATTGTGCAAAAAAATGTGATGATGAAGAGCAGTTAGTGAGGAGAGGTACGGGTACAATTTATTGTAAAATAGGGAAAGTCTCTCTGTTAAGATAGAACTTGAGTCGAGGCCTGAAGAAGTGAGGGAAGTGGCCCATTACACTGTGCTCCTCCCTTCTCTACCCACAGAGGCTGCTATGTGCTTTGACCCTCGTGAATGTTTCTTTCTCAGTGGGTATTTCCCTTCTCCTCCCATACCTGGAAGGTAGGTGGGATATGTCTGGAAGAAGAGCATAGCTGGCACAGGGAGCCACAGAGCAGAGGCTACATCACGGAAGCATGTTTGGTGCTCCAACAGCAGAGAGGCCAGTGTCATGGATGGGAGAGAAGGAAGTGGGGGAGATGTCAGTGCTCTGAGAAGCTCACCAGGGAGTATACAGAAATAGGAAAATGGCCCAAGGCTTGACTAGATGTTCAACATCAGGAACATTAGAAGGAACCAGCAAGGTGCCTGAGAAGCTGCAAGGAAGTATGAGCTGTGCTGCAGATGCAAGTAGTGTTCTGAGTGGTGCTTAGAAAGATTAAATAACCTTCCCTGGTGAAAAAGCTGGACCAGACTGATGGCCTCACGCCAGGTTTCATGCTCTTAATTTCTTCTGTTCTTCCACCCAATCCCAATCCTAATGGTAATATGCCCTGTGACAGCACTGGCTGTGTGCCAGGCACTGACTAGTATAACACTGTCATCTTTACCATTTTGCAGAAGAGGAAACTGAAGCATGAAAGTCAAGTAATGTGTCCAGAGTCATAAGATGGCTCAGTGTGCTTTGAACTTGACCATCAGGGTCCAGAGTTGGGTTTCCAGTTGCTACCTGATGCTGTCTCTCAGCAGCTCATTTAGAATACAGCTGGAGTAGTGTCAAAGATAATATTTTATAAGACTAAAGAAGGAAGCTCAAGAAGCAAATTAGATACTTTAATTTTAAAAAAGAAAAGAAAACTAAGCAGTGGCGATTTGACCTTTTGCTGTATCCTTTTGTGTCTCCCAGCCTCAAATAAGCTGATGAAGTGCTATGTGCTTTTTTCAAGCCTGAAGAGAGTGCTTGCGAAGTTGGTTTGTTCTCTCTCTTGGAGTATGACTGAAAGCAAAATGTAATGCTGCCTTTTAAACTAAGTAAAATGAAAGCCTTGGTTTCTCAAGGTCTTAAAAATGTAATCACATAGATTGAATCTCATCTAGTGATTTTAATTTAACCCCTCTTAAAGTTAAATATAGGAAAGAAGTTATTGCATCTGAGGAAGATTTGCTGCTGGAAATCATATCACCTAAAATATTAGAGTAAAATGATGTTCTCTTAGAGTTTACCCTAAATTCATTTTATGAGGAACTGTAAGTATACTTACAAATACAACATTTCTTCAAATATGATGATGCCTGCAGGTGGGTGTCTGTTCTTAGAGGTTATTTTCTCTAGCAGTTACTTGTTTTTCCTGGACATGAGCTTTTACCCTTCAATACAGGTAGCCCATGTCCCTTATCTTGCCATCCCACAGATTGTGGACTTTGTTTCCAAAGTAAGATTGTGTATCATACTGTTTCTTCAATTTCTGTCATCAGTGTTTTGCAGTTTGCAGTAAAGTCTCTTGACTTCTTGGTTTATTCGTCAGTTAACTTTTTATTCTTAACTATTTTATTCTTTTTGGTGCTATTGTGTGGGATTGTTTTTCTGATTTCCTTTTCAGATAGCTGTTATATAAAAACACAACTAATTTTGTATGTTGATTTTGTGTCCAGCTTTACTCGATTTGTTTATTCTAACAGCATGTTTGAATATTATGTATGTGTATGTGTAGTCTAGTTTTCCATGAATATGTCATTTGCCAACAGAAACAGTTTTACTTCTTTTGAGGGGGTGGTTCCCGAGATCGAACTCAGGTCCTTGCTTGAACAGTTTTACTTC